ACTATATAAATCTTAACCGCTTCGAGAAAATATTAACTTCAACTTGTAATTAAATACTTTTTCTACATTATTTTTACTCAATAACCGAGATATTTTTCTAAGAAACTGATACACACTTACTGAAATTTATCAGAAAAATGATTTTTTCAAATAGAAGCAAAGATGAGCAAGGATTCTATCCGAAGTTCTGTTGAATGAATGACGTAGCGAATCCGGCTTATGGTTATTTTGTTTGTTTTTTTCAATTTCAGCCCAATTACTTTTTCTTTAATTTAAAATTCCAGTACGTATTTTTTTGAAATAACAAAGTGCTAAATCCATTCGAAAATTTATTTTATTAAATATACACTCTTCTCACTGAAGACAGAAAATTACGAAAGTTGTACTGTCTCACCAGATTACTGGTCTAATGATTGATTTAAGGAACGTAAACAAACTCTTTTTCATTACTAACTGCTTTTCATAGCTGTTAAGCCCATCTGAATTGTGTTGCTAGCTCATAAATTTTTTTTATCTAAATGAAAACTGAGGTGAACTGTATGAAGAAGATCCCTGATCGATTACTTGTTGGTTTGGGAGAACTGCGAATCTTTGGCTGATAAACAGATTTCTGAAGGACAGATGACTTTATTTATCCTGTTGTGAATTTATCCTTTTAATATCAATGCTGAAATTCATAAGGAAATGGTGCTGAAGCTAATAACTAACGTTACTCATCTTGGCGGTCAAAAAAGCAAACTATAGCTGGTGATATTGTCAAACAGCTTTTTAAATTTTTAACGTCTGCTATAGTTCTGATTTCAGAATTAAAGGTATGATTATTAATTTTAGGGACTCAGTATCTACAGCCTCCTCCTCCTGTTACCTTGATCTTTAGGTCTCAGTGTAAATCACTTCACCAACCGACACTTAATAATATAGAACATAATGTTGATTAATGCTCAGTAATTGCTGAGTTAGTTGACTGAACGTAGGAATGATTACTTACCCTCCACCACGGATTTAGCGGAATTCACTGACGTTGTTTTAAAAAGTTTCTACGCCTTCAAATTCTCATAAGTTATTATTACTTATCAATTTACAGAAATAAATATCAGCTTTCGAATTACATTTCACTCCGTTCTCTGCTGTCTTTCCTTTTAGCTGGTCCCATGAGTACTCAAAAGCTTTCATTTCATTAACACGTGTTCCTCAGCATGTTACTCTCGGAAGGGTAGCTTATGGTTTCCCATTTCCATTCCTAGCGTTATATTACCCATCGGTTTTCTAAGTGTATGTCCAAACCATCACCATATGTCAGGCGAGAGGTTCTTGGCTGGTTTGTTGCCATAGAAGTTCCTTGTCGCTTGTTCTTTCTTACCAGCAGCTTAATCTCCATCATCGAAACAGTGAGGGCAACTGTTGATGAAAATCTGCAGTCCGTTGTGACATGCACACTAAGTCTCTTAACCATGTAAACAGACTTGAAAGTAGTGTTTGAAATTTGGATTTTGTTCCTTGTACTAAATAATCCGTATCTCCACACTCATTTCAGAGTAATGAAAGCTTGCCTTGCTTTCCCAAGTCGACCATGTTTAGTTTTGACATCCAGACAATGTAGTGGTTAGCGGATAGTTATATATCATTCATCTACATGACAGCTTGGCGCCACTCTTTATAATAATTAATCATAAAGAAGAAATACTTATATACTTTGATATGATTATTTTAGTTGATTTAGCGCGTCAGAACGATTGATCTGTACACAACGAATTATAAACAATATGTGTGGAAGGTAGGAATGCATAGGTTATCCCCTTACTAGCCATTATTTTATTCCTTTACGTTCCCAGTGGAACATAGGGCTTCAAGCGAGATGCCTGAAGTTTCGGCTGCAGTAGTGTTTATTTTTACGGGATGGGGTTGCTTGCCTCATGCACAACCTTCCCTCTTTCCCAGTCCTATTACTGGCTTGGAGAAGTAAAGGAGTGCGTCGACCGGGGATCGATCCCAAAACCACCTGAGTGGTTGGCAAGAATTCTACCTCTGCGCCTCCGACGCCCTTACCAGCCATCAAAAAAGCAAATTTACCGACTCATGCATATGTGACAGAAGACGATGATAAATAACCAGAATCGAAACAGATACTGTTCATTTAAACGATAATCAGGAAAAATCTGGGTAATGAATTGTTGCTTTCAAAAATAATGTTCTTCAGTATCACAAGCTTCGAAATCAGTGACGTAACGCTAAAAAGATTGATTTTATCAAAAATACGTTTACTACTTATGAGTAGGCGACATTGAATTTCAAATTTTCTCACCTTTTGGTTGGCATAGTCTTCGATCTACGGGCAATTAAGCTTTTACTTTGTATGTTAGCTAATTGGCTCTTAATGCACTCAGAACAATACAGATACATCTCAACTTTCATGGTCAAAGCTGTTGAAACCATATCAGAGACATTCTGAAATCACATTGTCAACGAGATAATCTCTGTATTTCATATAAAACGGACTACTTATTTGGGAAGTATGAATGGTTTCCGAAGAATAAATTTAGTGGTATTCGTTAGTTAAAAGTAGTACAGAATAACTTTATGTTAGTCAATCAAGTAAGTATGAAATAGATTCCATTAATTTAACCTTTAGTTTGGTTAGTAGGAATTAAATCATTATTTTCTTTTGCAAAGAATTTATCTCCAGAGGCTGAACAATCGTATCTATGCTTACCAAAAAGTACTGTAGTTTGTTATTCACCTGAGTGCACCCATCCACTACCTGAAAGAACTATTACCGAGGTTCAATTTTCATATCCTGTTCAAGTTTCATGTCACAACATACAGACAAATAGACCGAGTGACAATTGGGTCGCCACTGGGTTCACTGTTTACATAGTACATCATGAGAAGTTTAAAAGATAACATTGATAACACTATTGAAAGTTCTCACACTCATAATAGATACATGAATGATACATCCACCAAATCGGATAGATACTTACTGATAACAAATTAGTTCTATAGCTCCACACATAACTATCTATATTCAAAATCCTAATTTACTGCTAGAGATCTTCTTACTTCAACATCCAGTAAAATAAACGCATAGTTTCTTCGGGATAGATTCCAAGAAAAATTTCAGTTCTTCGTAAATCTTACTGCTAAGTATTCGTTTCTGTAATATGACAAAATTGAGGGCATAATATCAAATAATCTGTGGTAATAAATCTCCTAATTCCATTAGTGAGAAAGAAGATTCAATTAATTGAGCTGCATCTGATCGACGCTCACAGAAGACTGTAAGATGATCGCCTAATCAGTGAGGCCCTTATCGAATGTCAGAGACAGATCAGATGAGTGATTCCCCCAATTTATGGTCTACTGAAAGCTCATGAAGCTGGTTCACCCCTTCGACAAATTCCAAATATGACACGGCGATCTGAATGCAATTGAAAAGCGAACGTTATCGATGTGGAGATGCAGGTCATGACTTAAGCACTAGGTTGTTGCACAGTGGGATCCTACTTCGAATTGATATGATTATGAACAATAAATTTTGTTCGAAACGTCATCCAGCAAATAATACTGTTTCACTGTGTGATATATCTAATAAACAAACTAATATGGAATTACTTACTACCACAGTGCCCAAGTTTTACACATATATTAGTTAATTCTTGCCTGACACTATTTTCATCACATAAAACACGTGCCAAGTATGGTATCATAGAATTTTTGTACTTAGACGTGCAGGCATACAGTTTTCTGAAGTTACTTCTTGTTCTACCTGAGGAGATGCAAGGTGAAAGCTGAGGGTGAAGTGGATGCTCCAAGTCAGACAAAATCCCTCTAACAAATTTATTGCACGAAGTCAATTGCCTATCAACAACGATGTTCACTATGTGGTCCACTGGGACACCACTCACCCTACTGACCGTCTTCAGCATTCTACGAATTGTGAAATAGTCCTTTTTAAGCAAACCAGGGAAGAATAAGGGTGGACAATAAAGAAGAATAGGTAGGATGCAAGAGTTTATGAATTGTAAGAGGAGGGGTTGAGTTATACCCGAGTGCCTTAACTTCTTAATGTAAAATGTCAGGCGGAATACTTTACTGGAGATCGCTAAGACATGGGAAGACCAGGAGAGATCACAAGAGAGAATAAGTCCAAGATACTTAATTTCTGATTTAATTCCTATATCATTGTCATCAATCTTACAACTGTCATGAGAATCGACAGTGTCTTTTAACTGTCGTTTACATCTTAAGCTGAAATTAACAGTTTGACATTTAGAAGGACTCAGTTTAAGACCATTAGACTCAGACCATTAACTGACTCCCGACAGAAAGCTATTTATTTTGGTACAATCTAGCTGAGAGTTAACAGCCATTGAAACTGTTAAATCATCAGCGTACTTCACAAAGTTTATTTCATCAGAGTGAGGCAAGTCATGTAAGAAGAAAGAAAAAAGAAAAGGAGAAAGGACAGCGCCTTGAGGGACACCAGCTTCAGTAGGCAATGAAGTGGAAGATTTCCCTTTATACACGATGTACTGCTTTCTTTCTGAGAAATAGGAATGTAACCAGTTAACAGCCCATCGTCATCACTATGAATCTATGCTGATATATTTTCTATACTTTATTGAATTCGATTTGGTAATAATAAGATGAAGTGAATTTTTAGAAGACTGTTGGATTATTTATGTCAGAAATCAAATTTTAAAAAATAGAACAATTTAATTGCACTCAGGTCGGTGCAATACTTCATCATTCCGTATCTTTAGGTGTGGAGAAAATAAAAACAATATTTAACCAATCGGTAGTTTAACAGATCGATAAAAGCTGATTAGCAGTAAACTATGAGACAAAACGATACTTATTATTTATGTAAAAAAAACTAAATGGCTATAAATAAAAGAATTTTTTAAGGTCATTGTTATTGAAATAACTTTAATAGCTATTTATGGTGTTCACTTACAATATCAGCTATTGCTTAGCTGCATCAAGTAAATTTGCTTAGGATGAGTACACGCAAAGTTCGTTCACCTGGACCAAAAGATATTATCTACTGGTATGTGACGATTTTATACATGCAATAACATTTTTATTCGTAATGTTTAATTGTGGACTGACCCACTGTTGAAAATTTTTGGACTGATTGAATTAGACATCTGAGTTAGAATATATGCACATATACATAGTGTAGTGTTTTCGGTACTGTTTGTGTTGAATACTCATATTTTTGTCAGTTTTTTTTTCGATTCTCTCTCATGTAACTCGACCCCAGCAAACGCGTAATATCCCAAACATGCACATATAGCTTAAGACGTGGGAAAGAAAGACCTTTAAGGGATACATTATTGAACATTTAGTAAATCCAAAATGGAATATATTTCAGTGAGTTGTCGTCTTAATCAGATTCATAATTAAGTTGGACCATTCAGAGAAATTTATCACCGGAGTACACAACTATGATATAATTTTTTTTTATTACAGCTTGATTCCACATAGTATTTTTGGTACAAGTATGAAATTTTCAGCATTTGATATTGGTAGCCCAAATTTTGCAGGCGAACCGCTGATATCAGGTGTGCGTCGGTAGGGGATCGAACCCCAGACCATGTGCATGGTCGGCGAGAGTCCTAACCACTGTGCCACCGACATAAATCTGTTTAGATTAGAGTAAATCCTTTTACCATCAATTAAATCTGAAAACTTTCGGCCACTGATTCAGAATATTATCACTAGTGGATTTGAAGTTAAACACGACTAACTTCTAAAAGCCGAACGAATTGATTGCCTGGCACATAATTAAGTTGTTCATTCACTTTGATTAAAACCCAGCCTAAATATTACTGTCATGTTTGTTTACGCCATAATTAACTTATTTTTAAACGTAATTTTATTTATGTCACTGTCAGTGGCACAGTTTATTCTTCATTTATATTTATAAATCAAAAATATAACCATCTACGCCCCATTGTTGTATTTATCAGTTAGAATGGAATGACAATATCACAGTAGTCGTCACTGTGAATTGGGTACATACATATATCATGGATTTGAGTCGGTGGCACAGTGGTTAGGACTCTCGCCGACCATGCACATGGTCCGGGGTTCGATCCCCTGCCGGCGCACACCCGATATCTATGGTCGGCCTGAATTTGGGCTACCGATATCCATGCTGAAAATTCCACACTTGTACTGAAAATACGGTGTGGAATCAAGCTGTAAATCAAAACAAAAATAAATAAATAAAATATACAGAGAGTTCAATTCTCAGCCGACACGCTCCTGATTCTTGCCTAGTTTGCTGCACAGTAGTAAGTTCAAAAAAGAGTGAAGATTGAATGCAAGGCTAGCAACCCCACCCAGTAAAACAACACAACATTATTGCCATTTAAACTTCAAATCTTGAACTTCTGTGCTTCACTCGGAAAGCAAAACTAATAAAGAAAAAGGTGTACGCAAACAGCACTTATCATAAATATACATGATATAAATTTAAATCTCCGTCTCGGTGTTACAAACCACATTATTTTTAAGCATATCTGGAGAATTTAATTCTACTTCATCTACCTAAGGTCATATTCCACTAAAATATACGTGGCAACTACTTATTTGTTCATACTTCATAATACTAGCCACCAAACTGTGTCTTGTAATATGAAACCTATTTAACTTAAATAAGGCTGAAGAATTAATGTCAGTAAAAAGTTTGAGCATTGTGGAATAGATCAAATAAAGTATAATTATATTTCAATAGTTTACACACAATGATAAGTTTTGTTATTGGTAATATTTCGAGCAAAACTACTGCCCGTGGTGCTCGAAATATTACCAGTAACAAAACTTATCATTGTGTGTAAACTATTGAAATATAATTATAGTTTATTTAAGGCTGAAGAACTATAATTAGGCGTTTGTTAAACGACGTGATATAATCAAGTTAATCAATATATATATATATATATATATATATATATATATATATATAAATCAAATACTATTTCAACTGATGAAACTTAGTTTTTACTACGATTCGAATAATTCTTTTTTCCTTCACATTCAGTTGACATTTTCCATCTATTTTCATAGCCTGCAAGTCAAAATATTTTACTTTCAAGTGTTGGGATTTGATTTGATTAGCTACAGGATTGCATTATGAGCTGACGTCAGTTAGAGAACCACTGGAAAACCTGGGAATACTGGATAGTCGTTTCGTCCTAGTTTGTGACCCTTCGTCAGTAAGCATCCACCAGAGTTCGAACCCAGGACCTTCTAGTTACTTTTTTGGTTGGTAAAGATATGGTTATACCGCCTTTTCAAAAATTATAGCTAAATCAAGAAAATACTTAGGCGATTTTTTTATTCCTTCACGTTCCCAGTGGAACATAGGACTTCAAGCTAGAGGCTTGAAGTTTCTGTAGCAGTGTTTATCTTTTATAGGATGGGGTTGCTAGCCTCATGCCGAAACTTTCCTCTTTACCGGCTTTTATTTCTGGTTTAGCGAGGTAAAGGAGCGCATCGGCCGGGGATAAAAACCCGGACAATGTGCACGGTCAGCGAGCGTCCTAACCGCTGTGCCACCGACGCACTTCTTAGGCCATTAGATTATCTAATACAGTGAACTATTTTACTTTTATTCATACTTTACACCAGATATCCAATCAAATGTAAAATCTAATTTAATTAGAAATAAGCAGTAATTGACGAAATATTTAGTTGTTAAACAAAACATAATGGGTAGCTATTTCACACTTCATGAATCCATACTGTTAGTTACTTAGGCATATAATAAAATACAAAAGGAGCATATTCCATCCGAAAGGAATCATCAGACTACGAGTAGTGAGAAGTAGGAAAGAAATTAGGCATCCCGGCAAAACAGGTTGAAAATAAAAGACGAAGCAGAAGAAGCCTAATGTACATGAATAGATACCATTATTGTCAGTCAAAATACAGTGTGAACTTCTATCAGGGTGTGTCTTATACACGTAAACTTTTTGGTTTACCTGTCTGCTAACTCTGGTTTGATAACGGAATAAACTGAAAACAGTTTACTGATTATTAAGCAACACAGTAATGCATTTTCGATCACTTTTGAAAACTGATGATATCTTCTCCATAACTCCTGAAAGACGGTTATTTCATCCTATAATCAACCTCCTGTAGTCCTTTGACAGATAAAAACGTACTACAGGAAACTGCTTCCTAATTTCATTATAAACTGTTGAGGACAGTGTTTCAGAATATCTACGCAGTAAAAGGGAAGTAAGTACCTCATTTCAGTACTGAACAATGAAAGACAGCCATTGGAAAGTGGTGTGCCAAAGGATGTGGGGATATGACTGATTGGTTGAAGCACTTGACTTTCAGTCAGTGGTGGCGAGTTCGAGTCCAAACAACTTCAACTACTTCAGCCGAGGTAGTAACACAAGCCCTTACATAATAAGTGTGACTCATAGACTGGTATCACGTGGCGTGTAAAAGGGGTATTAGTGGCATCAGATCTTCCAGGCGAACTTGTGATTTGAAGGGGAACCAAAAATTTTGGAAACCAATTATTTTGAGAACTTTGTAAACACCTTTTTGGAATCGGGATTGAGAATATGAGACTACTATATTTTGTAAGGTAAAACATTGTTGTTAAAAGAATCATCATTGAACAGATTATGGACGCATTTACATATGCAGATTTTAATAATGAAATGTCGGTTAGACTTATATATATACATGTAAAGGTCTTTCGAGCACGTCAACACAACGGTAGATGCATTTCAGTTCCCTTATGAGTTGTAAAGGGGAGCTTCCAAAGTTGGATTGCACCACAGAAAGGAAAAAATAAGAAAAGTTAAATTCTAGTATTTGCAGAAAATCCACATTTTCAAGTCTATCTTCTGATTTTGGTTCATCCTATTTCATATCAATGAAAATAGGATTGGTGAAACGTTTAGGTGATACGGTAAAACAACTAGATAGTATCAAAGAAAATCTATGGAAGTAAGGTATATAAGAGAAGCTTAATAATTACCTTGAAAAACTAATCATGAAGTATGCAAGGAACGATAAGAATAAAAATAACGACAGTTTTATAAAAACAGCGACATGAGTGACAAATATACACAGAAAGATGGCAGGACCAAGAAGAGGAAATTTAAAAAATAAAAAAAAAACAGTAGTATCACCACGTAAGGGGGAACTCTTGGAACTCCATGTTGGATTCTTAACAAGGCAGGAATAAAAGTTGCATTCGAACCTACAAACTCACTTAGAAATATATTATGTCAGTTCAAGGATTCTGTGGAGCCCACTAAAGTAAATAATTTAGTTTATTAAATACCTTGCAGTGATTGCAAGGTCAAGAACAGGTCAGTGTAGTAGACCGGGTTAGTTAGATTAGCGGAGCACGACAGCCTAGAAAAAGCTAGACTAGTAGGCCTTAGTAATATAAGAAGTCAACAAAATGCTCAGCAACGGCACTACATGTATTTACACACAACCATACAATAGGATATGACAAGATGACACTCTTGAAACCTAATACAACGGGGTTGAGAGTGCGTATGTGTGTGATAACTGACCATTTGAGAATCATTTAACATATGTCCTAGACATCTCGAAAATTCTACCATACTTACGACAAATGCGAAGATGGAACTATGAAAATCAAGTTTCGAAATTATGTACTTACAAATGACATCATGGTGAACAATGAATTGTCTTTGAACTGCCATCTAGTAAATAATACTGTTTCACTATGTGATATATCCAATAAGCAGATTAATTAATATAGAATTTAAATATTCCCATTTAAATTTATCTGTGCTTCTGTATTAGAAGCAGTTAGTAGGAAATCATGGGCTTAATTTGTTTTCTTCGTTTGTCAGTCGACTCTAGTTTACAACCAATTCATTCTATGAATAAACTTTTCAGTCACGAAATAATTAAACATTGTTCACTGATAAGCTTCGTGTCTACATCTATACAAAATTTTACTTTTTTTTGCTAAGTGAACAAATTGTTCTGCTTATGGCCAGTCCTCCAAATGAGAAATTAGAAAATATATTTCGTGATTTTCCCATCTGACAGGAAGTTTAACGAAATACAAGTATATCTACTATATATATATATATATATATATATATATATATATATATATATATATATATATATAATAGTCACATGAACTGAACGAAATGGTGACTGCTTATCAAATCAGTAGTGTTTTCTAATCAATCATTCTATCCTAGGCGTTATCATTGGAAGAAGACAGATCCTGTTATGATGGCGAGGAAAATTGGTACAGTGAATTGGGTCCTTTTACGTGATAAAGTAATTAAAGGATACTGTTTTAATAAAATATGTTAATAATGATTAATTATTGTCAAGGTCTGCTTTTCTTAACAGTCAATTTGTTTGGAAACCATTTAACTGGATGTTCGATTATTTGTTATAACGTGTTTATAGTAAATAAGAATAATGTATTCCTGTAGCTTACATATACAGATAGAATATAATCTAGTAGTTCATACGATGGAATCTGCTTAACACTTCTCTTGGCAAATAACACACTTAATGGGTTTGCCTTTTGAAAGAATGAAACAAAATTTACTGGGGATCTAATAAATGGAGCCAGTAAACCAGTGGCATTATATATTGAACCAAATTACCATTCAATTACTGATATTTCATCTTCTTCGACAAACTGGCTGAAGAAGCAGACAGAACTCTAGGTGAACATAGAGAAGACGGAGGTGATGAAGATAACCAACGCACAGCAGCAGCAACATCAACAACCAGCATCAGACACCATCAACGGGAGATATCTGACAAAAGTTACTTCCTTCACTTATCTAGGAAGCATCGTTTCAAAGCCAGAATCGTAAAGGCAAGGTATGCCTTCATCAATTTGAAACAGGTTTGAAAATCTTCTGCACTCCGCCTCAGCATAAAGAAGAAAGTTCGGCTTTTCAATGCAAATGTGAAGTTAGTCAGTTCTTCTATATGTTTCTGAAACTTAAACAGCGACTGCGTCGTGAAGAGCATTTCCAACAGACAGCTGCAGACTTTATCAACAGCTGCCTTCACTGGCTCCCTGCTGAAGATCAAATAGCCGGCTGGCCAGAAAGAATTAGCAACGAGAAACTATGGTAACCAAGATCCTATTGTTCAACAAATATGTAGGAGAAAATGGAGATGGACCAGGCACACCCTGAGGAGACCTTCGGATGACATCGCGCGCAAGGCCCTTGAGTGAAATCCAAATGGGAAGCAACGAGTGGGTCGTCAGTGCGACAGTGACATGGAATAGGTCATGCAGGGAGGAGATAAGAGATCATAGGTAATAGTGGACCCAGCTACAGAGGACGGGAGAAAATAGAACAAATTGGAGACGTGCTGTTGAAGCCCTATGTTCCACTCGGAACGCAAGAGAGCAATAATAATATAATAATACATCTTCATTGTGTCTATTGTGATATTTCGCTTGTAATAAAACGTTTCTGCTCCAAAAGAAAGTGAAATGTTTCAATAGTGTGATGGCAGAACACGGTAATATTTGGCAGTAGACTGTTTATTTGGCTAAATGGTGTACAGTAATGGCAATTTGCTCATGCTCCTCATTTTGTCCTTCCTTTAGTTCCCTTCAATGATTTCAGTATTGTTTTGCAAGGATATTTCATTTCTCCCCTCCGTAACTTCATCCGTCGCCTACTGTTCAACAGTCCTTCAGAAGACATCGGACATAATGGACAATCTGCAAAATTCTGTCATTAGTACATGCCAAAATATTAGAGTCACTAGATTAATTAGAAAAATACATGAAAGTGTTCACGTATTCAGATAAGCGAAAGGTCAAATCTGAGCTGAAAAACTCAGTATTCCGAAGTTTGAGAGCTAACAATTTTCCAAAGTAATTCAATCCTGTCAAGTAGAAAAATCCAGGGTTTTACATAGTTATAATGCGGTATATTAAATTACTTCTCATAATAGCTCAGTGGTAACGTCTTTGACTGCAGCACTGGGTGATGCGGGTTCGAATCTCAGAAGGGACATGAGTTCCTTCAAGGTTGCAGATACGCCTTGCTGATGAGTGCCAACTAGCACGAAACCTAGGTCCAAGGCTTCCTGCCGATTGCCTCCAACCATCTAGTACCAACAATTCACAGTGCACCGTAATGGTGAGCCACCTAGCATGGTGGCCACATTGCAAACATGACTGATAGAATTCAGTCTGCACCGAAGATAGGACTAGACACACTACACTAGTTACTGACTAGTGTTCAATCAAAAATAACTAACGCTACGATTAGATGTGGTTATATTCTAAAGGAAACTTTTATTGCATCATAACTATTTGGTCGTTTTATTGAGTAATCATTCTATACACATGTTTGACTTCTCGTAGCTTCCCATCCCACAGTGAATTCCCTGAGCTTGATTGTTGAATTACCGTCCCAAACATTGTGGTGCTTATTGAAATTTATTTGTATAACAGCTTTGGTACACCATTACGTTCACCTAAGTTATAACGATTTTGTTCCTTGATGCAATATTCTTACCTCATCACAGTAACACTTGTCATTCGTCGAGACTTTTGAATTTCTATTTGGTTAATTTTATTGGACCGAAATGCTAGATCCCTGTAGTAGGATAGACACTTCAATTATGTTTTAAAGTTATTGGTGTTATTTGTTTGATGATAGCTGGCAGTGGTATTTAAGAACAGCGTTTTATCCTAATTCAATCGATTAAGATCTGGTGTCTGCGATGAGTGTAGAATTTGAATAACGATGGAAACTGAAAATATGCAGACATGTCCAGCTGGCCAGTTCTAAGCAGGATGAAACAAACTTTTACCGGAAATTAGCTTAACATTTGCAAACAGCCATCTAAGGGCGATATTTGCTGTGTAGTTTGAAGAACTTAGATATGGAATTTAACATCGGTAGATAGTATGAAATTACATCTTGTTTACCGTTTTGTTTAATGAGTACACTCATAAATATGAAAGACAGGCAACAGAATTACAGTTTCTCCGTTCAACAACCTTAATTATTTTAACTCTCTTAAGTTTTATTTTTTACTCTTACTCTTCTAGCTTAATGAAATGAATCAAACACATGAAAAAGAAACTGATCCGCATACTCTTCGTGCTCAGATCATTGCATCCCAGGTAGAAAATATGACGAGACAACCAATACCAAGTCATCAAGACTACGAAAAAGATGAAAAAAGTGTTGACAAGATAAATACAAAATCGACTGCCTACTGTGGAGGTCCCTACACAAAGGGAATGACACCAGAAGAAAGGAAACAGTTCTTCAGAACAAAATTAAATCAAAAAGCACGGGAAGGATTTCGTTTCTGGCTGACTGAACGTCCAAAACCAACAAAATGTAAGGATGAGGTTCTACATCACCTTTTTTTGCACTGTTGTTGTTAAGCTGACAACTAATCGATAAACTTACACTTTCTCACTGCTAATTTATGCAAGAGATTATGTTCAGATGATTCTAAAAGCATTGGCTTTCTGAATAAGATTAAGTCCTGATGAAGAATTGCAAAATACCATAGGACAGAGTGAATTCAGGACCGTAATAACCTGATTGCTATACTTACTAATTATCGAAAAATTAAATGATGTGGTTGACGAAGAAATGTCCGGATTTGTTTATATGACTGATTCCCAAGTAAATGTCTTGTAAGAAGAAAACCACATTGACAAAATATAGCACAGCTTTTAATATAGACACACATGAAAGGAAGTAACTGTCAAAAAACTTTTCGCTAGTGTTTTTGCATTAGCTTTAAAAATGTGAATGGTCAAAACTGTGTGACTTTTCTATCCGTTACAAAGTGGACTAGTAGATACCTAAAGACAAGTAAAGAGCTCGTTGAAAGCCATTACTTTCACTTCTGTTCGCCAAAACTACATTCAGTTATAAGATTACGACTGACTGGTTTCAATGTGGAACTTTGCACAGATGTACAGAGCAGTTCGAGTTGCCACACTCCTTTCATGTAGCACACAAAGCAAGAGAAAACAACAAAGAGAGATACTAAACAGAAGTATGAGGCAACAGAAGTATGCAAGCCCGACCACCACGTCAAGGTAGCAGCTATCGGTCGGGTGTATGGAGGTGTGGACTTTCCTTTTGAGATTCTCGGGATGGTAAAAAACAATGAAGGCTGGAGACAGTCGATGATATGGCTCAAAATCGTTCTCAGTGGCTGGCGCAGATGCATTCACTCCTTTTGATTTATAATATCCAATAAAACTATATTGTTCTTCGATATTACTATTCTTTTCGCCTCATATCTCTGTTTGCTGTCTCTGTTTTGCATTTATTTTTACTTTCTTCTCTGGCTTTGTGTGCTGATTGAAGTGTGGCGACTCGAACTGCCGCACATCGGTGCAAAGTTCTATGTTGAGACCAGTCAGTCAATCATACGTGACCGGCTTAAACCAACTGATGAAGACAGGTTTGGGTTGACCACCACTAACCAACTCTTTCTCAACCTGATCCTATGTCAGCTAACATTGCCCATCGAGGAAGGTGATGGCTAGACTAGACATGCGTAACTTATCTCCTAACCATGTCAATCAATGTAACTTCATAACCTCGTCCATTGATTTCGCCTCCCTACCTAGCACTCGGTCGACGTCCTACCTCAATATGCCTCACCCCATGATACCACCCGACACGGGAGATAGAACGCAGACACCTAGGATCAAAGACAGCTAGCCTCTTCATGTTTTCCACTTCCAATGACCATGTCTCACAGCCATAAAGGAGGACGGAGAGGACTGTTGAGCAGTACACACGTCCTTTGGTCGACAACAGGATATCACATCTAAGCTAGAGATGGCATAAGTTGGCGTATGCCAAACAAGACTTCTGTATCCATGCTGAAATTTCGCCAGCGATCAACCCGCTAGGACTGGCTGATGCAAATTCCCGAATAGGTGAGGTAGTCAACACTTATTAGACTATAAAAGGTGTAAAGGTGTTTTACGTCAGATTGACGATCGACAATCATGAGCATATCAATTATTATTTAGCAATGTTTATACCTACGAATACATGGTCGCGGAGGTTCATATATACACCAACATCATTTTGTATAAATACAATAAGGATGACTTTTGATCCAGGTTAATCAAAGCACACATGTGCACCTCTGTCATAATCTCTCGTCTTATGCTAAAACTGCAACAATGATGATAGGTCAAGCGACTGACTTTGGAGCCACAAAAGCACTACACAGTAAAAAAAATTAACAATTTCCAATTCTAACTATATCATTTTTATACAATGTTTATTACATTTTCAGTTGGTCATTACTCGATGGGAGCTAAATACACATTTCTGGGCTTGTGCAATGCTCCAAGAAGCTGAAAGTTCTCTTATCGTGTGGATTCATTAATACCACACTACCAACTAAGAACAAAATATCCAATTTAGTGAAATCATTGTGCTAAATAAACAATTATATGTCCATGAGTTTAGTTTATTTTCGAAAACAAATGAGATTCTTCAGATTATCGTAAACTGTAACAACAGTACAGTTTATCGCTTTTGCTCGTCACACTTCGTTTCGGTTTTTTTCCTCCCCAAGCAGTTTACATCAGCCCAGGTTATCGAAAGACTAGAATTCAAAACACCCACCAACAGAATGTTTTGTTTACAAGTAGAAAAATACTGAGATAAAGCTACAGACTGAATGCAACTGCAATGCTAACTTCAATTTTGAACTGTTCAAGATAATATCCACAAAATCATTCACGCCATTTTCGCAGTTGCACAGTAAATTATGTAGAACATGACACAGACAACAAATATAGGGATTAATAAAGGATTAAATAAAATAATATGCTCAGTTTTCACGTTGAATTGGAATTTTATGGATTCAACAAACCTCATTAATACCCAGTGCGAATACCTGAATATGATAAGAACACCTTGCATTATAGCAGCTAGTAGTATCATTGTTATCTGGCAGTTAAATAGTAACAAGATGCATCAAAACGCTACTAAAGATGTAGTCTTAAATCAAATCAAAACTCGGTGGGTGCGCACTGATGAAGAATCCCTAACTAGGACGAAACAGCTGTCCAGTACTCCCAGGTTTTCCAATGGTTCTTTAACCAATGTCAGCTCATGGCGAAATCCTGTAACAAATCAAAACTGTTGATAAATTATAGCAGACTGAATGTTACGCCTCCGTGGAACTCACAATAACTAGTAATGCTGTACAAAAACAAATACAATTCAAAGAAAGTTGATGTGGCACATCACTTCTAAACTGTAGTTTTCATTATCTATTTTTAAATGATACTGGAGATCTTAGTAAAAATAACAAAACTGTTATATCCCAATTATTGTGAAACTTCAATCAGTTAGGGAAGTTATTTGAAATACAACATGTGTTGTAGACTTCTTGATGAATAGAAAGACCGCGCACTGACCATAGTAACGAAAATGACAGCAAGGACTTAGGGTACTTTCATAGGGAAAACTTTATGCGACCACAGGAAAGTTCCTATGAATAAGTTTACCATGAATCCAAGAGTATATTTACTATGAATATGTATATTATTCAGCCCTAAGCTCTAGAGTGAAGTGTTCCCTACTTGACCCTATTCCGCAGAACAATTGTCTGTTAGCTGTCTAGTTCAGTGAATTTATAATAAACAGGGAGCTTTAAATACTAGCAGACACCAGCTTGTATTTTTGACCCACACATTCACCGGCTTTAATTCAAACGAAGTAAAGGATACCTATCCTCAAAAGCCGTCAAGCCGAACGATGAACCCTCAACTACTTAATTTAGAACATTAGCTGCTTGTTATTTTTAACATTCTCCAACAAACCTTTCTGGATTTTAAACAGCTGGAGCCCTAAGAAAATTGATGGTCACTTTACAAAAAAGTTACCCATCAGTAAGAATAACACAATGTACAAAAAAAAAAAAAAAAATTGAAAAATTTATACTTCCGATGTTCATTACATGACAGTACTTCATGGGGTTCTTTCCAACCAAACTTACTGATCGATTATAAGATCTTTCAAGTGATAATCAGTGTATTTTTCTTCGTAACTGTGTACAGTGAGTAAAGTTCAAACAACACTCGAAGAAAAAGTTTTGAAATATTTTCAATACTATGAGTTTAAAATGAATGAAACTTCATAATTTAAGAAGGAATGTTATTACCACAAGATATTTCAAATGCTCAATCAGTATTCGCTATTTGTCACAAAATATTAGTCTGCCCATCTTAAAAAACACCCAGATATATTTAAATTGCTTTACTTCAGAATGCAAATATCCATCAACGTTTCACAATTGGAAACATTGTATGGGTAGGTATAAGCAGATAAAAAAGTAAAGGCACTATTTCGATATAAAACTGTCTCAAAGAAAACCAAGAGTATGAAAATTTCAGAGATTTATATAACCAAATCATATTATATATGTACAAATGAAAGCAAAGTAAAACAACATTCTTAACGTCCTTTTCTCATTCCTTTTGGTTTTCCAGGACGTCCAGCTTTGCTTTTACCTCTGCCGCCCTTTTTGCCAAACTTAGCTTTATTTTGTCCTCGTAAATCCGCTTTCATTCGTTTATCGACAATCTTAACTTTAGCTCCTTTAGGGGCTTTTGTACTGCCACGTGAACCGGCTTTTGTGTTCACAATCATATGAAGAGGGCGACGTTGTTTCTTTAATAAACCAGCCTTTTTGTACATTCTAATGAGGTGAAGGAAATTTTGAAAAAAGCAACAACAATGGAATGATCAGCCATCAAAGTTATAAAGATATTTAAATTACAAACAGTATATTCCATCGGCTTTAGTAAATCGTTGCAATATTCATAGATTGCACTCACTCGCATATATATATATATATATATATATATATATATATATATATAAGGAGAGAGAAAGAGATTCCGGCCAGTCAAAAGAAAATCGGTGTCTGGTTTAGTATTCACACAAATCATATATGATAAAAGATTGAAAATATTCGTCACTGCAGACTATAAACAGTATTCGAAACTTATTTATAAATACTTTACAGACAAATCCCTTCCTCTTTACAAGTGAATTATAGGCATTTAGTACACTTTTGCATAGTGCGTCGGTGGCACAGCAGTAGTATGCTCGCAAACCACACGTGTAGTTCGGGGTTCGAACTCCGGCCAGCGCACTCCTTTACCTCGCTAAGCCAGTAGTAAGACTGGTAAAGAGGAAAGGTTGGGAATGTGGCTAGCCACCCCCATCCCGTAAAAAATAAACATCACTGAATAAAACAATTCATTTCACGTACATTTTAATAATGACGTCTAAAACTTCGTTACACGTAAATCGTATAAACAGTGTGGTGAGAGCTGGCTGCTAGCCAAAGTTGGTAGACAGTAATTGACGTCAATGTTTATGTCCCCAATATTGGTGGTGAGAAAATGAGAACAAAGGCTTTGCGTAGGCGGATACAGTTAGCATATGGATGATCTGACACAGCCCCAAAGAGATGCAAGGTTAACTTTCTGTGAGAAACAGCCAATCAAAAGACTGTATTTTCTACTAACAATAATCTACAATAATGTACATTAAAATCTATAAATATGTGTTGATTTTCCTTAATAAATGATCTGTTGCCTGGCCCTTGTCTTCTGTTGTTACAACAGTACCTTATCAAGTCTTCAAATATGCAAAGCATATCCTTAACCACCTGTATCTACAACTTGTACCAATAAAGTGCGAACAATCTATGTACTATGGTATCACATATTACAGAGTTAAACAGCTTACTGTTTTATTTGTTGCCATTTCTCAGTTTCTGGTATTTCATCGGATATATCTTCTGCTTTTTGACGAATTCTCTTCAAACGTTTCGCTAGACGAGCCTTTTTACGTGCTTTAGCTTGTTCTGCCTTCGAAAGAGAACGACCCATTGTTGGTATATCGACTGGAATTTCCTCCTAAAAACGACAAAAATCTAACTCGTTAAACAGAACGATTAAAGCAAACCTAAGTAATACATTTTTTCTCAAAATGCAAAATGTAAGGCTACATATGATTTTAGATGCACTCGAAATCAAATTTCTCAAAAATTTATCAGATGCTAAATAGTTATACATTAAATTGGTGGTTAAAACTGTATATACTTCGTGCCCACAATCGTTTGTTGGATAATTCAGAAATGTAGAAAGTGCAAACAGCAGTATTAGATGGGCTTCGGTGAAAGTTTTATACTGAGGTCAATTAATGCCAGTGACATGATATAATTTCGCTAGAATGGCAATAAACTAGCATAATTACAAATGGCTTTCTTTGAATAAAACAAAAATAAAAAAATTAATTCAACTTTAAATATGTTAAGGACATAATATACCGCAAAAACAAATTACTTTTTTAACAACTATAGGTTTCCGCATATGTTTCCTTTCGTCGTCAACAAACCAATCCGGTAACTCAGAGGATTTTTCAAAAAACTGGAAACGATTATATCCTGACTCAAGTAGCTCTCGCCTGGATTTTGCGGACTGAATGAGACGGGTAGCTAAAGCCCGCTCTTCTGGAGTTAACGGACGATTGAGACGCCGTATGCGATGTATTGATTTCTCAAGTTTCTCAGCTGTAAAATAAGAGAAAGTAGGACTTATAGAAAAATGAATTCAGATCATAGATCAAGAAAATTATCTAAAGATCCTAGGATAGGGTAAATTCACAGATTAATTAAAGGAATAGTTTACAGAGGATTCATTTGAAAATAAATGGATGGTGAAGAGTGAAACGCTAACATAGCAACATTGCTATGTGCAGTTGAAGATCACTCACGTCAAATATTAGTTCCTGCTAACCAGAGAGAAGTGATCCAAACGCCTGTTTCTTTCGACTGGGACCAAGTTTGATGTACCCATCTCACACAGCCGAATCAGTTTAAATTACCAGGTTCTAAATTACTATTTTGGAAAACTGTTGATACATAGAATGAAATTAGTAATCTGGAAATTATACGGTTCAATGTGAAAATAAACAGATTACTTATTTCGAAGTGAATATTCCAAGTTTCTGAAGAAGGCTGCGACGGATTTTCACCACAAACTGTGTAGTTTGCAAATGACGAACTTGACTCAAAAATACTAGTAGTTCCGGTCATTAAAAGCCATAACTGTTTCACTAGAAGACGCTTTCCAAATTACCGTTAAAATCAGACAACAATTCTCATCGACGCTCCCGTTTAGCAATATACAGTATTAGCGCATATATTTCAACACAGAGCTAAGCATCAGCCAGTTACAGCTTAAATAATAATCACAGGAAATGTTAAATTTGGATATTTATCGTTTCCTTCTGACTGACCGTAAACTAAATGCAGCTATAATGCAGATATA